CTTCTTGTCAGTTTAGAAGTCTAATTAGAATTCTGTCATTCATTCTCTCAATTGATTCCTACCGCTCTCTGTAACATAAACCCAACGACTCCATATCACCCTTCCAGCAACAGCATTGTCGCTAGTGTTAACTATACTCGCTCATACTTGCTGGTGTTAGAACGGAACTGCGACTGACTAGTACTACTCTGGGTGGTGGTGGCCCTGATTTCCATCTGCGTCCGACCGGCATCTTTCTCCTCCTGCCCCCCCTCCGACGACTCCTTCTACTCCTCCCTCTCTCCAGTCTCTTTCCCTCTCTCTTTTCCCTCTCCCTCCATCTCCATCAATCTATTAATTAATTCCTGCCCATCCTTGCCTTGCGCTCCCTTTCTACAAACGGCAGTGATTTTGCCTCTACTTATCATTCACTCCTGCCCACACTTCCGAGCTTGCGATCCCTTCAACTTTAACGTCTCTCTCTAATTCTTTCGGAGTTATTCCCACCAACTCCCTCGTTCCTCCCAACCGACCTGTAGCCGCCGGAGAGTATTCGAATCGCCGTCGCCTGTGGATCGCTCCTAACTCGCTCTGCTCCTTGTCAATCCTTTACTTTGGCTAGTTCAACGTCTGCTACTTTCCGAAATTGGTCCCTCACTCCTCCCTATCGCCAGACCTGTCAGTCAGTGCCACTCAATCGCCGATCCAACGGTCGCGCACTTTTTCTCCCTCGCTGGTCGCCTTCGGCCATATTCCGCATACGCGTTCAACAGGGGCTTCAATTCATCGCACGACATTACCGGGTTGCGTTTCGTCGACGTTGCCGTGCCATATTACCTTGGGTCTTCGACCTTCTCAAGACAGAGCGATAACAAGACGCCGAAAGCGCTCTTGCTGGTGGCTGGTAGTATAGACGCGACTTCCGCCAATTCGAGCGCTTCTCCAGCGCACTGTCACACTCCCTTTGTTCACACAATGTCGGTTGCTACCATGTTACAACCTGCCTCCAGAACGTCTACTTCATCTTCCTCGTCTTTTCAACCCATGACGCGTCAAAACACAATGTCGTCCCACGACACGCGGTCCCTCCGCCAGTCGAAGCGGATGTCAATGAATGCGCTGTACATGTCAATGTCGGCGAAGGATAGAGACTTGGAGATTTCGGATGATCTAGCTAGGGGTTAGTTTGTTATGGTCTGAAATGCTCCCCTGTCTGGTCTAACGTTGGATGGTACAGCCCAGAAGTTCCTGCAAGAGTTGAAGACGAATATCTCCTCACAATCGAAGAAGAATTTCGTTCTCGAAAAAGATGTCCGATATCTGGATTCTCGCATTGCGCTGTTGATTCAGAATCGTATGGCTTTAGAAGAGGTATGAATCCGACAGCCACTGTTGTTTATTTTGCCACCTCTAATTCTGAGTCTAGCAAAATGAAGTTGCGAGTCATCTCGACGAAGTCCTGGATCCCCAGGAGGGATTCTTTCCCAATGACGACAAAACTCAGAAGTACGGTAATCTTCTATTCCTCCTCCAATCCGAGCCGCGCCATATCGCCCATCTGTGCCGATTAGTCTCCATGTCAGAAATCGACTCCCTTCTGCAGACGGTCATGTTCACAATCTACGGAAACCAGTATGAGAGTCGTGAGGAGCATCTGCTTCTCACCATGTTTCAGTCTGTTCTTACCTATCAGTTCGATAACACGCCGGAGTACTCGTCCCTCCTCCGCCAGAACACCCCCGTCTCACGCATGATGACTACATATACGCGACGAGGGCCTGGTCAAAGCTACCTGAAACAAGTACTCGCCGACCAGATCAACTCATTGATTGAGCTACGTGATGTCGACTTGGAAATCAACCCTCTCAAGGTCTATGAGACCATGGTTAAGGAAATCGAAGAAGAGAATGGATCGCTGCCTGACTACCTCGCAAGATCTGTTACGGCAGAAGCTGCAGCAGAGAACAAGCAGGTGCAGGCCATTATTGAGCCGCGCTTGAAGATGCTTACTGAGTTAGCGAACAAGTTCCTGTCAACCATCATCGATCACGTGGACGAGGCCCCGTATGGCATTCGGTGGATTTGCAAGCAAATTCGGAGCTTGTCTCGTCGCAAGTACCCTGATGCGCAGGACCAGACGATCTGCACCCTCATTGGTGGATTCTTCTTCCTTCGCTTCATCAACCCAGCCATTGTCACCCCACGCTCCTACATGCTGATTGAATCGACTCCGACGGAAAAGCCCCGTCGCACGCTGACCTTGATCGCCAAGATGCTTCAGAATTTGGCAAACAAGCCCTCGTATGCGAAGGAGCCTTATATGGCGAAACTGCAACCGTTCATTGAGCAGAACAAAGAACGAGTCAATAAGTTTATGCTTGATCTGTGTGAAGTGCAGGACTTCTACGAGAGCTTGGAGATGGACAACTACATAGCACTATCCAAGCGCGACTTGGAGTTGCAGATCACTCTCAATGAGATGTATGCCACACATGCCTTGTTGGAGAAACACAACGTGGCTTTGGCGCAAGATCAACATTCTCACCTCCATGTGTTGTTGCAGGAGCTTGGTGCAGCACCGCCCCAGGTTCCGCGCAAGGAGAATAGGACCATCACAGTCCCCTTGTTCAGTCGCTGGGAAACCACTGCACTGGATGATTTGACCTCGGCCCTCGACATCACTCAAGAAGAAGTCTTCTTCATGGAAGCCAAGTCCACATTTGTTCACATCTTGCGGTCTTTGCCGCCAGACTCTCCTGTCGCCCGGCGCCCCCTTCGCCTTTATCGCATCGCGGAGGCGGCGGCAACCTCGAAGACCGGCGATGCGGCCATGGTCAAGAAGGGCATTCGCACCATGGAATTGTTGAGCCAGCTTCAGGAGATGGGAGTGATTGATCGGTCGGACGATTTCAGTCTTCTCCGCGACGAGGTGGAACAGGAGCTGGTGCACCTGGGATCTCTGAAAGAAAAGGTGTTGGAAGAGACGAAGAAGTTGGAAGAAGTCTTTGCGACCATCCGTGATCACAATGCCTACTTGGTGGGTCAGCTCGAAACGTACAAGTCGTATTTGCACAACGTCCGAAGTCAATCGGAGGGAAAGCAGCGGAAACAGCAGAAGCATCAAGAACTTGGACCCTACAAATTCACACATCAGCAGCTTGAGAAAGAGGGCGTTATTCGCAAGAGCAACGTTCCCGAGAACCGTCGGGCGAATATCTACTTCATGTTCAAGAGTCCTTTGCCTGGCACCTTCGTCATCAGTCTCCACTATAAAGGTAAGCTGAAGACTTCAGACTTATGGCTTTTGGTGAGTTCTATGCTAATCCGGTGAACCTAGGTCGTGCACGTGGCCTTCTGGAACTGGATCTCAAGCTTGATGATTTGTTGGAAATGCAGAAAGACAACCAGGAGGACCTAGACCTGGAGTACGTCCAGTTCAATGTTTCGAAAGTACTCGCACTTTTGAACAAACGATTTGCACGGAAGAAGGGCTGGTAGGAAGCCCTCGGTTTTCGGCTTCCACGTCGATGACCGTGACGACTTACATGAACTCGAGCGGACGGCAAGCGATAACGGCTTCAGTTTGGTATCCATACTCGCAGCAGATGCTGCTGGCTTGTCCGTTCGTTTTACGCTATGATTTCGAGATGGATGGATGACCGGAATTTACATTCTTCGATTGTCCCCATGTTTCAAGATGGGGCTTGACGATCAATCATCAACACCTTCTCGATGACTTCTGATTTCAGTTCTCCTTCCAGATGGTGTCCGTTGCCCATACAAGGCGGTAATATATGGTGAGCACGCCTGTTGTTCTCTGGGTGGCAAAGGCGCTGTCCTCGCCGGTTCGAGGATGAGCGCCCATGGCTTCAGTTATTGTTTTTCCTAAAACCGTCCACTTTTGCGACGGGCTATATTCTATGATGATTTGTGCCTGGGTTTGTTTCGGCCACTGACAATTCACCAAGGTTGCAGTGCACGTTTATATTTTCGTTGCCTCATTTCCATGCCGTATTATGTCACACTGTCTATATATGTACCTATAACCATTGGATTTAGCGTTCACTTGCCGTAATATGGCACCTAATGAAGAAGATACTCCCGACGTGACTTGTGGCTCAGACCGATTTTCTAGAGTAGTATTTTTAGTGTTGCGTATCTTGCTGTTCTTGCTCTTCAGGCGTGAAACGTAGGAAGAAGCACTTTGCGCCACTGAATTGAGGAGGCAGATCTCCCTACTCGGATCTGCAGTGAGAGGCTACACCTACGTCACCAGAAGTATTAAGTGGTCGAGCGGTCGGTCAGTCTAATCAAAGGACTTAATCCCAAACCGGTGATACGAAGGTGGTCCTCATGTATGAAGGAGGAGCGGCTGATCATTGCTAAGGGGAGAGTGAGAATAGACGAAGCGGTAGCAGGAGTGAAGGAAGGCGACGACGCGGCGACCGCCAGTTGCTGAGGCCTCCTCTCTCAGGCATCGAATTCAGGCTGATTCTTCTCTTTTCCTTGTTGCACTCCGTGGATCTTTTGAAGTTAGTTGTTCAGTTGTTGATAAGTGATAACAATCGGATCGGTCTTTTAAGACAATTAAACAATCAGTTACTCAAACATTGCAACCTCCATAATAAAACACTTCTCAAACGGATTCAATAGATAGAATAGTAGATAAAATAGTCTATCATTTACCCCCTTGAAGCCTACGTATTGTTTCTGTTCCCTCCCTTCTGCTCTCTCTTGTAACTACGAGGTCCCGCTTAAGTGTCTCCCTCCCTCCCTCCCCACTCTCCCTCTCCCCTCTGCCTCTGCCTCTCCCTCTCCCTCCACTCTCCCCCCTGCACCGCCCAATTTATCCTCGCCGCTCCCTCCACCTCCCCCTCCCCCTCCCCTTTCCCGATCCACGACGGAAGTTTAGTCCTTCTTAAACCCGACTTGACTTCTCCCGTTCCACATCTCTTCCTCTTTTTTCTTTTTTCTTTTTTCACCTCTCTCCCTTTCCCTCTCCCCCCTCACACATATTCAAAATGGCTGCTCCTTCCAAGTACGATAACTACGATTTCCCGACCACAGCGCCGGAGGCTCAGTCTGGCCATCCCGGCCACACCACCCCAGAGCAAGATGCGAAGGTGGAACAGCTCCGGAGCGAGCTGGAGCAGCTTGGCTACACTGAGAGACTGGACACTTTGACTCTGCTGCGCTTCTTGAGAGCCCGCAAGTTCGATGTCGCCCTCGCCAAAGCTATGTAGGTCTTGTTTGCATTGCATCCTATCTGGCAATTCGTCCCTGCAAGCAATGCACATGAACATGGCCGCACTGCGCTGGCATGCTCTCATGCTTTGTTTTCTCACGACGAGGTATTATGTTCAAACAGAAGTCAAAGGGCTAACACTTTTGGTGAATAGGTTCATTGACAGCGAGAAGTGGCGGAAAGAGTTCGGGACCGATGACCTGGTCCGCACTTTTGACTATACCGAGAAGCCTCAGGTCTTCGAGTATTACCCTCAGTACTATCACAAGACGGATAAGGTACGACCCCAGGACTAAGCCAACATGCTCTTCGAAGCGGTTCGAGATCAGGCGCTAATGACTTCGATGCGTTTAGGATGGCCGGCCCGTTTACATTGAAAAGCTTGGCAAGATCGATCTCACTGCCTTGAACAAGATCACCACCGAAGACCGTATGCTTCAGAACCTCGTGACTGAGTATGAGAAGCTCGCCGATCCCCGCCTGCCCGCCTGCTCGCGCAAGGCCGGCAAGCTCCTGGAGACCTGCTGCACTATCATGGACCTCAAGGGCGTCGGAATCACCAGCGCCCCATCCGTGTACGGCTACCTCAGCAAGGCGTCTGGTGTCTCCCAGAACTACTACCCCGAGCGTCTGGGTAAGCTCTATCTGATCAACGCTCCCTGGGGATTCAGCGGCGTGTTCAGCTTCGTGAAGAAGTTCCTCGACCCCGTTACCGTCAACAAGATCCACATTCTGGGCAGCAACTACAAGAAGGAGCTGTTGGAACAGGTCCCTGCCGAGAATCTCCCTGAAGAGTTCGGAGGTTCTTGCAAGTGCAGCGGCGGCTGCGAGTTCAGTGATATGGGACCTTGGCAGGAGCCTGAGTGGGCCAGGCCCCCCAAGTGGGCTGCCCCCAAGGAGGAACAGGCTGTGGCCAAGACCGAGGAGCCGGTTGCTGAGGTTCCCCAGCCTAGCGCATAGAGCCTTTCTCATTTTCCGATGCGTTTTCTTGTTTTCGTTATATTGGAACAATATGGTAAAAGCTTCAGGCACGATTTTGCCAATCTATATCCCTTCTTCTGTTGCTAGATTTGCTTGGTCTGTTTCATTTTTCCCATACCTTCCCGGGCAAGTCATTCCACTAATGCCCTCGCCAATTTCCATTTCATACATCACCCAATGTCAGATCAACCCCCACGTGGCTCTATCTATTGAGCTTATTACATGTTGGGCGCCGGTGACGGCTGCACAAGCATGGTTTTTTTTTTCTTTGCCTGTCGATTTGCCATTCATTTCAGTTCTTGTCGTCTCTTGGGCTTAAATCTCAACCACTGTCTGAGCGTGTTTGGGTGTATCTATATAAGTCGGAGTGCAGGTGGGGAGTAATGCAGAGTGGACGATAAAAGTGCTACACGGCGGTTGGCATAGAGTTACGTAGATTTTGTTTGCATACAGCATTCTCAACGATTATACGACAGACGATATAAGTAGTCCGTTTGAATCAAACTTCAAATCCAACAATTCTTGACTATTCACTAGTCAACAAAATGCACCATCAATCAATTTGGTATCATCCCAAGCCTACCTAGGCTACCGACGCCATTCCAGTACCGATAACGAAAAATTCAATGAAATCCAAAATGAAAACGAAAGAAAGGAGAGAGCAGGGGGCGCAGGGAAATCGAGACAACCCCCTCACTTCTTCTTTTCCACAACCTCGACAGCCCGACCAGCGCGTTCGGCCTTCCCCACAGTCGAAGCCAGAGCGTTTCCGTCTGCACCCTCAACGTCTGATGTAGCGGCCTGCCCGGCCAGAGCTTCCCCCTGCAGTCGAAGCAGAGTGCGCAAGGCATCCTCATAGACTCCCGCCATATCGCCACTGCGCCAGCGCTCCGCCTCATGTTTCGTGCCCAGGGGAACCTGCAACTTTGCGCGCCGCGCCAATCGAGCCGACCTTCTTGTTGTTGTTGTTGATGGTGGTGGTGTTGTTGACCCATCCATGGCACCAACCTCAGCGCCTCCAGGTGCATCGACCATCTCCGTATCACGTCCTTCGCCATTCGTTCTCGACGCTGCTGCTGCCGCTGCCGTAGCTGTTCCCGTCTCCGTGCCCGTCATCTCTTGATCCTCCGCTGCTCTATCCAGACTGACTCCCTCACTCTCCTCCTTCAACCCATTATCCTCCTCTTCTTCACCGACAACACCATTCATGCCATCATCCCTTTTCTCCTGCTCTCCCTCTTCCCCCTCTTCAAGTTCAAGTTCAACATCCTCTGCCTCCTCCATCTCCTCCTCGATCACCCTCCTCAAGTGCTCCGCATACGCCCTCGCCGCCCGCCCCGGCGCGTCCCGCCGCAACTGCGCCACGGTCGTCGTCAACGACTCCAGCTGCGCGTACAGCGAGGTCACCCGCGCCGCGAGCTTCGCGTCATACGCCTCATACTCGACCTGTTCGGTGGGGGCGGTGAATGAGGCGGGGAAGGGGAATTCTTTGGAGGTGGAATCGAGCCCGTTGATCGTGATGGAGTAGGAGGCGCTTGTGAAGGTGCGGAGGATGTACTATTTTGAAGGGTTCGAATTGTGTTAGCTTAGCTATCGGGTTTTTGTGGGAGGGATGCTGTTTTTGGGGGGAGGGGGGAGGCCAACCTCGTCAACTAATTCGCGGACACGTTCGCGCATCGGATCCGGTCCATCGTTGGGATTGGCGGAGGGAGGGAGGTGGAGGTCGAGCTTTTGGCGCGAGAGCGCGACGGTGTTGCCGTAGAGGTAGGTTAGGTCGGCTGGGGATTGGAGTTCGATTTTGCGGTGATGCGAGTCGCTCATGTTCTTTTCGTGTGGAAATGGATGTGAGGGAGGGGATTGGGGCAGAGAGGCTGCAAGGTACTATGTAATTTGGTGGGAGGCGGGGTTGGCGTTGAGAGAGGAGGGGTTGGCGTTTGGTGTTGGCGTTTATTGATTGTTTGTTTTATCTGGAGGTGATGATGGTTCGGAGATACACCCGCGGTAGACAGATAGTAATGTTGACCCCCGGTTTGATGCCTTAGGCACAGTAAAGAAGGTAGTCATGCCTCAGGCCTGGAAAAGGCAGCCACCGCAGTCCTTTAGTGCCGATCGGCGCGCCCCCACAACGATGTCATCGATCAAGTGAGGAACTGAGGAACTTGGCTTGGGGTTTCACTTAAAACACTTAACTACCACGCATGAACTACTCCTATCTCTCCGTGATGTGGTGGCCGATCATCCTGCAATTCACTCTTGGGTTCCCCCCTGGCCTTATGTGATAATAATATCAACTTCATTATTCCCTTCATCCTTATCCTTAAATTGCAATCTTAGATTCGGTCCTGGGGAGAGGGGGTTTCGACTGCCGATCACCCCTGCTGCACACAGTGAACTTCAGCTCCACCTATAACATTACCCTTTTCTTTTTCCGTGCCGATACAACTAGTCTTGCTGTTGCGATGAGATCACTGCTGGGCCGTGATTACCTGAGCTAGTACACTTTGAAGATATCCCAGAAACAATGGAAAGCAATATCAAGATCAGTCTTGTCGACAAGACCGCCCCCCGTCGTCCGTCGGACGATGCGCTGGCGCAATCGCACACCGCAACAACAGACCTCTCCCGGAATATCTCGAGGAAGTTCACCCGTGCATCTATACGGAGCGAGCTCGCCAAGCGCAAGTATGCCAAATGGCAGCCGGACCGTCTAGGACTTACCGACGATGAGGACACCTCCGACCGCAGACTGTCCGAAGGGCGCGACCTGTTCACGACCGAGACGAGAACGGACACACTGGCAGGGGAGAGTCGCTTGACCGCGGGCCCCTCGTCGTCGCAGAGCTCTCCGGAGGACCAGCACAATGTCGACTCGTCGGACGTCGACCAGCAGGCCGCCCGAGATCACGAACATGACGGCCAGAACCACCCCAAGCTGTCGGGGCTGAAGCCCGGCACCGAGCTGGAAATCCTGTACGAGAATCAACGGGGTTGGTTCTTCTTCGGCATCCCCCTCTATTCGCACAGCTCGCTGCTCAACTTTGACCCGGCGGCCTGGACGACGCCCGACGGTCGGGACAGCGCCGTCGACATCACGAAAGCGCAGCTCCCGGACCCCAGCTGGGAGTGGGTCTGGAAGACCTGGTACGTGGACATGTCCGGGGATGTGGATGATCAGGGCTGGCAGTACTCGTTCTCGTTCGGCTCGTCGGCCTGGCATGGGTCGCATCCCTGGTATCATTCGTACGTACGCCGTCGCCGATGGGTCCGACTCCGAGTGAAGCGCGTGTCGGAGCGCAGTCGTCGGGGCCGGTCGGGTCTGGAGGTGGCGCACATGCTTAACGAGGATTATTTCACGATCCACTCGGGTAAGGCGAAGACGAGGGCGTCGAGCACGGACGGACTGTCGCGGGCCACGTCCGGGTATCTCAGTCGCGCGGCTACGAAGGTAGAGGAGGAGGTTCCAGTGGAGGAAATCGCTAATATCCCGGCCTTGATGCATGCGTTGCGAGTGGCCAGAGTCGACCGGGAGAAGATGGACGCTCTGGAGCAGTTTATGCAGGAGGGTGAGGACGAGCTCTTTTATTTGGATGGAAAGGTAAGCTTCTTTCCCCCTTTCTCTGACCTACTCCGCTCTTCATTTGGCTCGTCAGACACAAGTATTGATGTCAAATTAATGGTAGATCCCGGAGATCATGTCTATGTTTGTCTTCCAGGCTTCTCGGTGGCAGTACTTCACCCGCTTATCCGATGTCGTCGAGGAGCTGTCTCAGAGTAGCTCTGAAGCAAGTGGGAAGGAGGCAGCGGAGCTCCAGCGCAAACGCGATCACTTTCAGAAAGCTGCAGATGTAGCCCGGCGTCATCTCACGGGACCTGAAGTGCTGCATTCCGATGACCGGCACCTGGAGGCGGGGATGCTGGACCTGACTCCAGCCCCAAAGAGAGGCAGTTTGTTGTCGAAGTACTCCGGCAAAGTCTCATTCCGCCCTATGGATGACGGTGGTGAAATCAAAGGAATCCCCCAAGCAGCTGAAGTCGGGCGTGAGGGCCATATTTACCAGTATACTTCATAACGGCTTGCTTTTGCTTGCATGGGTAGCATGGCGCTTTTGTTTTTTTTTTTTTTTATTTGTTGGGGTTTCATGACTTTGAATTAGCTTGGTGTCACGGAGCAGCTTGTGTTTTCTCCCCCTTGTTTTTGTCAGTACTTTTATCATTAATCATATCTCCTGAATATTGTTGATCTCAGTGGAGAGCTTGTACTTCTTTTCTTGTCCCTGCTACAGTTCCTTTGTTAGAATGAAAGCGGAGTGCTGGCGGCGACGGGCACAAAACCTCGGGCCGTTCACTGACCGCCTTGGCCGGGAAAACATTTCTAGGTTCCGCAGCGGAGTGACCACCGGAGCT